ATGGAATCCGCCTGTCACTAACTCCAGTGTGTTTTTTAACAGATCTGTTGCAACCATGAATGTATACTTCCTTTATTATACTGTATTACAGAGAACCTTGTACTTTTCTAAGGTTATTTACCATTATTTTATTCTTTTCCTTTATAGTGTACAGAGGTTAAGAACTCAAATGCAATGGAGCTAGAGGGACTCCGGAGGGGCCTGCGGATACTTGACGATGCTGGTGTGATTGGACAAGGCATAGTGACAGATCGTCACATGCAGATAGCGAAGTTTCTCCGTGAGACGTACCAACAAATTGATCACCGATATGATGTCTGGCACATTGCGAAAGGTAATTATTATATATATACTGAATTAATTCCAGCAAATGTATCTTATATACATGTTGGCTGAAATTGATATTGTAGTTATGACTACTTTTGCAGGTTTAAATTTGCCTATATTTCCACTTTTGTGTATAGTAATTATTGAATTATGATATATTTTCTAAATTTAGAACACTCCAAGTAGCTCCTTGATATGTCACATATTGAATTGTCAATTGATCTCTTTTAGCTAATTCTTGCTCCTTTTTTTTTGTTTCTGCCTGTATATAATAGGGTTAAAGAAGAAGCTAAAAGCATTGGCCAAGATGAAGGACTGTGGATTGGTTCAAGATTGGTTGAGGGCCTTGGTAAACCATGTATACTGGACTGCCTCTTCTACTCCGGATGGAGATAAGGATGTCATGAAAGCCAAGTATAGAGGGCTATGAACCACATCAGAAATCTTCACACAGATGAAAACCCAGAGTACACTGCTTGTGAACATGGTGATGACTATCCAGAGCGAGAATGGTTGCAGTCAGGTAAGCTACTTATGTATGATCTTTAAATAACAATTTACTTCAGTGGAAATAAAACAGTTAACCCTTCACTGGTGCCTCAAGTTGTTCTTTTTGTTTGGATGTGGGTAAAATCCTTATTTATATGCATACGGTGTACATTTTTCACCCTCATTTACTTTGAAGATGTTTGTCAAAATGCGAGCAAAATATTTACATTTATTTTAATAATGTACATTCAAGTTTAATTTAGTTCAATTTTGATCATGACATTCATATTTTTTTTTTTGCAATTTTCTAAATGATTAATATTCATTGTGGAATGAAAAAATAGTTTTGGCGAAGGGATGAGATGCTTGGAAATGCCGAGATCATGATTGCTAACTATTTAAATGAACTCTCCTTCACCTTTACCGCATATATTATATTCCCAATCTTATTACAGGTACAAAGGTGTACGACAAGCTTCGAGAGGAATGGCTGAGGACCAGACTGGTGAACGGCATTGGGATGATGTCCCCACATGCCCAAACCAGCAAGGTTGAATCATTCCACAACATCCTCCTTCACTTTTGCCCCAAGTTGCTTGTATACTCATATCAAGGGATGAAGTGCAGGTAAATTAGGCAATTAATTCATCAACATTATGCTCCCCTAATATAAATTTAACAAGAACGTCACAGAGGGCAGTGTTGTTTCTTCTTCTTCTTCTTTTGAATTTGATTTTATTGGTTTTATGTTTTAAAGTTATTATTTTCTTTTTGTTATAGCCAGGTTCTTTCTATTTCATATTTTGTTGGTTTTTTTTATTTTTTTTATTTATTATTTGTAACACATGCTTTTTACACTAACTCTTGCCTTCACTTATTGGAGAGTAGGTAACGAGTTTATGATGATAGACATTACATTACCAAAAAGATAAAATCAACTGTCACAAGTATGTTATTCATGTGACCTTTATTTTTAACTTCACTCTTTTCAGATTATATTTGGCTGTCCTACATTGGAACGAAAATTGTGATAGAGCCCAGGCTGTTGATGCCGAAGGGAACCCAGTGTACAGGTTGAAGTATCCACGCTCGAAGGAAGGAGGCCACACAGTGGAGAGAGTGCTGACAGCTGGCACATGTGGTAAGTAGCCACATGTCTAGTGAATGATATCAATATTCAACAAAAGAGCTCAATTATATATAGAAATCTTTTATTACTTCATGATCAATAGAATTCAAATTAGTAGATTCTTGTGGCCTATATGCCCTTAATTTAATCTGTTGATTAAATTGATAATTATAAACATGTATTGGGTTACTTTCTGCAAATGTGTAATATTGAATAGCAAGCAGAAACAGGCATATATGTCAGTCCCCAAGTCAGTGAACTACCTATTCAGCAAAGAACATGTGCATGCCATTGGTATTTGATTGGTCATCCACCTACAAATAGTGTGTAAAATTAGGTAATTCAATATTTGTGAGAAAAAGAGTTTTCTCTTATGTTCTTATTTTTCTCTTTTCCTTTTTTCCTCTTATCAAAGTGTATTTTTTTAACACCGTATAGATGAATTTTCAAGGTATAGTTTTGGATTTTATCTTGTAGGTTATGTGAAAGCCCTGATGAGAGTTGTCGTAGAACTGGTGGAAAACAGGGAGCAGCTCAGAGACAACATGGAGGAGCTACAGCCTCAACCAGCACGGAGTGCCTCTCATCATCACCCCGACAATGGAGAAGCCGTGCAAGCTTTTGAACAACATCATCGCTTTGGCGATAGAAACTAGTTCTTTTGGTGATAGAAACTATGATGAATGTGTCAGCTACCTGAACATTAACCACTGATTGTTTTATTTCAGTACAATACATGTTTTTCATAGACCCTAAATTATGTTTATGCCAGTATAATTATGGAGAGTAACATGGAAGTACTCTATGCAAGTGAGTAGTGGATTCCGATTCTATGTGAGTGTAAAGCACTATAAACTTGTCTGTAAGCTTGTACATACTTACACAAGCCAAAGTCCATGGTACACATCAATAGTCATTGGTTTTAATAGGTAAAATACTTATTAAATTTGTAAAACTTACATTTTTAGTTCAATTAAAAACAATTTCTGAAGCATATGCACTAGATTTCCATAAACACTAAGTAAATCACTGTTGATCATGAATTTGGCACCAAATATAATCTGATTTTTCTCACAGTCCTTCATCTTGGCCAATGCTTTTTGCTTCTTATTTGCAAAAAATAAAAAAATGCATTTTTTTTCTTCATCTAAACTGTTCTTATTCAAGAACCATTTGATGTATTGCACCAGATATGACTTTATTTTTTGTTTTTGATTTTTTCCCTTTTCTGCCGAGGTGAATTGTGTTATTCATTTTCAAAGTTAGTAGTTTTAAAGATCATGCCATATTATCACAGAAGAGGAAACATTGTGATGATACTTCATCGCATCCATACTTTTTTTCCTAACAGCGGTTTCCTGTTTGTCCTAAAACCTGGTTATAAAAGATTGAAAAATAATCATCCTTGCAGATATAATAAAAATAGTCATCTATTCTGTAAACTTTACATAAAATAAGGATGAATGTAATGTACATGTTGCATCAAAGTTTTTGTTCCAATGGTGCATCATTTTGAAATATATTGCACAAACAGAGAAGAAAATGATTGGGGGAAAAACCGTCAATGGGATGTTCTGAGAATATTTTGAGCAAAGGTAAACAAAAATTCATCTAAAGGAACACAAATCTTGTTTGTTTATTTCTATTATAGGTGTCTTGTAGGAAGCTTCATAATTTACAGATAATAATAATAATAATAATAATGTAACTTATATCGCGCCAAATCCACTCTGTGGAGTGCTCAAGGCGCGTGTAAACAGGAAAAAAGATCAAGACTTGAAAAGAAATGTTTTGAGATGAGTTTTGAAAGAATCAGAGGATAAACATTTTTTGATGTCTTCAGGAAGGCCATTCCATAATTTAGGACTAGAGTATGCAAAAGATCTTTCCCCCCACGTTTTGGTAATTTTGGGGGTTACAAGAAAATTGGAAGTGGATGAGCGTAGAGGTCTTGCAGGAGTGTAGTTTTGGATTAGAGAGATAAGGTATTGAGGAGCAGAGCCGTGAACGCAATGAAAGGTGAGCAACAAAATTTTGAAAACAATGCGATCTTTTACTGGGAGCCAGTGTAGCGACTGCAAAACTGGGGAAATGTGGGTACGCTTGGTGGTCAGAGAAACAATACGAGCTGCAGCGTTTTGAAGCTTCTGAAGCTTGGACACTAGATTCTGGGGTAGATTGATTAGGAGGGCATTGGCAAAATCAAGACGGGAGGAAATCAGAGCATGAACTAATTTTTGGAAAGATGGAAATTGCTGTGAAAATGAGAGTGAGATAGAGAATGTGAAGGAAGAAGAGGGGTAAAGATAGATACCAATAGGGATAGAGTGAGAGATGTGAATGTGATGGATGGAAGAGGAGAAAGAGAGATTGTGAAAGAGTGAGAGATGGGAATGTGATGGATGGAAGAGGAGAAAGAGAGATTGTGAGAGATGGGAATGTGGAGGGTGGAGGAGGAAAAGAGAGGCAGAGGGAGAGAGTGAGAGATGGGAATGTGGAGGAAGAGGAGAAGGAGGGACAGAGTGAGAGATGGGAATGTGGAGGGTGGAAGAGGAGAAGGAGGGACAGAGTGAGAGATAGGAATGTGGAGGAGGAGAAAGAGAGGAGGGACAGAGTGAGAGATGGAAATATGGAAGAGGAAACAGAGAGAGGAAGTGGGATAGAGAGATGGGAATGTGGAGGGTGGAAGAGGAGAAAGAGAGAGGAAGAGGGACAGAGTGGGAGATAGGGTTAAGGTTTATCCTTTTTGGGAGGATAGATTTGATGCAAAATAAAGGATTTCCTGGATTTATTACGATGCTTACCATTTATCACACATTTGAAATTTCGTCAACCGCAATTCCCTTCTCTTACTCTCATTATTTCTCTGTCTATCTTTGTTGTGTCCATGCTGTTATTTCTCTTTCTCTCAATTTCGTTTTCTCTTTCAATTTCATTTTCTCTTTCTCTCCCCTTTTCTGACTCGGCAGGTTGACTGTATATGAAATGCTCAAATTATTAAAACAAATTACATTGCAGGGTGTATAACAAAAAAGAAGGAACAAGGCATGTTGTGTTTTTTTTGTTTTTTTTTGTTGTTGCTTGTTTATATAGATTTCAACATTCTTCCTCATAAGAAATCGTTGCTTGATCACAGTTTTGCAAAAGTTCGAATATCAGCTCTTGGAAATTAGAATCAAATGTCGAGATCAAAGTTCATAGCAACCATACCATCATGAGAAGTTCAAACAATAGTATTTGTGATGAATATGAAGATGAAAGCCGATGATCACAAATAACGTACAGAAGATGGCTGACAATCACATAGAAGATGACAGTCATTCAAAGTTCGCAAGACAATAGTTGATTTTACATCCTCATCTCAACCGACGCAGGATGGTCCCTTTGTACTGACCACGTCCATCAGGATACGCTTCCATTATTGAGGCATGGACACATGCTGGCAGTTGCACCCTGATGTCCTTCCCGAGCCAGCCCCAACACCATCTCACGACTTTCCTGTAGGCCACATACCTGTATTTTCTGTAAAATAAAAAGCAATAAAAAAATTTCATTATTTTTCTTAGGATAGATGATTTGATGTCAAAATATTAATTCTTTATTAATTAATTCAGGAAAATAAAAATGATTAAAAAAAACTAAAATGACCAAGGGTTAGTCATTGTTTGTCGGGCGGTGGGGGGCAACATTCAAAATCGCATATAAAGTTTGTGTTTCATAACTACAGATTATTGGGGGGGGGGGGGGTAACATGCTAAAACTCACAAATCGGTGGTCATTCTTGCCTATTTGTATACATTTCCTGAAAAAGTGCCCCGAAGCACCTGCAGATAAGGCAGCTAGTACACCAGTGGTCACCAGGCAAGAATTTTGGTCAAAACTAGTAATTCATCTGGCGGTGACTCAATTCGTTTTGAAAAGTTTCACCCAACAAACTTTCAAAATCAATCCATTTATTTTTTTGCCCTTGCCAAAATGATGAAAAGGAGAAACATAACTTACTCATTGTTCCTGTCCCCAAATGCTTTGGCTGCTCGGCGCCACCTATCTGTGTACTCCATCCATCCGATGTATAATGTTGTCGCATTTAGGATGGCCGGCTCAAACTCCTCAGAATCCACCAGACAACTTGAACCCTGTCGATCAGCCTCTGCCTTGACCTCTGCAATTTCCTGACAACAGACACAATCACCTTCATTGAAAGATGGAGGCACACGACATCTTCCACATGTACACCTTGAAATACAGAAAGATTCAAACAAAAATCAATACACCTACTATAATTTTATAAATATTTTATTACAGCTTCCTGATAAATATAAAAATGACATCGTTCTCGTAGTCGTAGTATGGTAAGAGTGCCCAAGGCAGTGCCTATGTCTGCGCACCCACGTAAATGCGCGATATTTATAGAACAAAACATCAAACTGACACCAATTTTCAATCTTAACCTCAACAATTCATTTAGATACCAAAATTTGTGAAAATAATTGGGAAGATTAAAAATGAGTTTTAGCAAGTTTCATTTGCCACCCTGAAAATTTCAATCATTGTCAAAAAAGAAAAGTCTGAACAGGGGGTTGTCCCTGGTATGAAACTTCACTGTGCTTGATTGAATTGCGTGCAAAATAGTGAGTGCGCAGACATGGGCACTTTTCAGTTTTGCTACACAAAATGACGAGCCCGTCTGAAATTCGTTAAAAAAAATTGTTCTTGTGAATAATTTGTCGAGTTTTTTTGTTTCAGTAATCATTAGAATATGAAGAACGGAATAACAATGATGATTCTAAAAATAATATCTTACTGTGTAATGAAATCGAGGTCGAATTTTAGGTGCGCAGACATAGATCTAGAGAATCATTCTAACAAGTTAACTTTAGAATTAGACATGCCATTTATGACCGAGTCTAGAGATCTACGGTATTTGATTTCAATTTTTGGGGGGAATAAATATTTAGAATGCACAACAAATTCAATAAGCTTATAAGTCTTAATTACCAATCCTCGACATTTTCATGAAGCCGATTTGCGTTGTTGGCCCTTCCAGCATCGCCAACATTTTGCCCAGGTTCACTCGACGATACGCCCGTGTTCTCCGGCGTCTGCATCACTTGCATCGCTGTCGGTATCACTGCTGCTGCCACTGTCCGGACTGTCACTACTACCACTGACACTGTCATTTTCACCGCTTTCCCCGCAACTGCCATCCTCCTCACACTCAAATTCCATAACTAAATCATCTTGTGCATCTGCCCTGACGACTGGGGTAGCCATTCTCTTTAGAAAGACTTCTCAAAACTTCTCAAACTTCAATCGATAAAAAGCAGAAAGGATTCACGGTACCGTACCCTGCCCAGTTACCGCCCCCCTGTTACCAGTGGCTTATTAGACACAACGGCCGTCTTCCATCGCCCGAGTTTCTACGGTGCGCAATGAAGGCGTGCGACTAACTTGCCTATAGCAGCATACACGTTGTAAGGAACATGTGCACGAAATATGGTACACTGTCGATCGCCCATTTAACGGAGATACGCGAATGACGTCACTGTGCAGCAGTCAGCTATGCGCTTATTTAGGTGTGAATCAACCTTTTTAAAAAACATCAAGTTCCTATTCAAAACGATCAGAAAAAAAATATGGTGGAAATTTTACTTTTGTTTAAAGAGATATGGAAGTTTAAATTCCTGATGTTTTACCTGAGCAAATTTCTTGCGAAAATTATTATTTATAAAAAAGTTATCGAGGCTTGAACTCGGCCATGTCGCCCTGTGATGCCCCTGCCCTATTTCCGCCCACTCAAACACACGCGCTAGTTCAGTGTATGTACCGTGCGTTGTTTATGCTCTAACAGAGAAAAGGTTATCTGCCCGTGGTTTTTTAGTCTATTTGTGTGTTTTTAGGTCTGCGGTTGGTTTTTTGAAAGTGCACACTTCATTGTCTTTTTTCCATGATAAAACACTCGGTTTACTCCATAAAATCGCAACTCGAGAGTATGAAGAAGGTGAAGAATACACAAATACTATAAAACTACATTCGACCTATAAACAGTTTGTAAATTGGGAATTCACCCCCCCCCCCGTATATGTTGACCTACATTTTGCAAATAAAAGAAAGATCATAAATGAGATAACATGGTCACCAGGCATAAAACTCTTTACTGGGATTACAGCCATGCAGTTGTCAAAATCTGCCAGACGGAATGTTGTTTCACTTTTTGATGAGCAATCATAACCGTGCTACTAAACTTAACATTTTGCAGGCTCACTTGCATGGTCTACAAAATAATCATTTAGAGGTGGCCATTCATTTTTTGTTGAGTTTACAACCAGAAAATAAAATTCAGTGTAAATTGAGTAGCTGTTTATTTATTGCCCTTTGAAGGTTCTAGGTCAATTACCCCTTGGGCATGTCACCCCCGGCCAATTAGCGGTACAATAATTACCCCAAGGACGATTACCCCCCCCCCCCCCGAGGACAACCACCCCGAGGAAGTTACTCCCCCCCGAAAAATTACCCTCTAGGACAATTATTACCCCCCCCCCCGTGGACAATTAAACCCCCAGAGGACAATTACCACCCCCTGAAATTAATGATCTCCCCCTAAAAATTACCCAACTAATTATCGAGGTTGACTTCCCCCTGTTCAGTATGAACAGGGGGTAGTCCTCGGGGCGGTTGTCCTTGGTTGTCCCAGGGGGGCATTGTCCTATATAGGGGTTAAGTTTCAGGGGGTGGGGGGGGGGGGGGGGACTCTTTTCCGGGGGTAGCTCGTCGAGGCACGGTAATTGTCCTTAGGGGTAATTATCTTTGGGGGTAGTTTTCCGGGGGGTAATGGTAGGCGAATAAGGTGGGAGGCTGAGATTGAACCCCCCCCCCCCCCGAAGAATGTTGCAATGATGTTTGGCCGTTCGTTCGATCGAGCAACCGACAATTTCTGGTAACGATGTGGTAATGTGATAATCATGCAGTTAAATTTTGTGACAAAATTATATATGATTGATTAATGTTGCAAAAAATGCTTGAAGTTCGGTTCTCCAAAAGTGATCCCGATGACAACTAAGTCCGGCTTTTAAAAAAGTTGCCAGGTTTGGTAGATTTGCAAAAAGTTTGTATTTATGTTCTATGTCGCTGAAGCTTGTGTCGCCTTTCAATCCAGCGTCGTGGCTTTGTAGCGAAAAGAGTGCTTGTTTCTGATACGATACAGGATGCAGGCAGAGGATTGATGTATTAGTTTTTGTTTTAATTAATTTAGTTTAATTTATTCCCTCAATTTTCTTCGATTACACCCCTCCTTTCCCCGATTTTTCTTTTAGTCTCCCTCTTCACTTTTACATCCTTTTTCTTAGTGCTTCTATACATTAGGCTATAATATCTTTTTTCAAATGTTTGTGTGTTATATATTTTTGCCAACACGGACCATGACATTTTCGCTGCTATCAAATTTCCGTCAGCTGACTGTGAATAAAATAAATGTTGTTTTATGTGAAATAAACCTATATGAATGGCTATCGAAAGAGTAGTATAAAACTATAAATGATACATTTCACAAGGGCCTATACGCCTGTCAGCCTTTCAAATGGCTAGGGTAATTCTTATATACGTTGTTAGTTTGCTAAAGTTTTATGGCGAATAAAAGGTGAACATTTTTTTATCTCTATCCATCACATTAATATCTCTCGGCAATAAAATGAATGAATATTGAATGAATAAATAAATAGATGAATTATGTAGAAGATGTGGGGGAGGGGGTATAGTGCCAAATTTAGAGAAGGGCAATACATTGCAGGACATGATTTGAGTTGTTCTCGGTAATGTCAACAAAATACTTATACAATAGCTTTCAACCCTCTTTGGATGTTGAAGTGGCAAAAACGTGACTGGTGACCCCCCCCCCCTACCACCACTCCTTTTGCATTAATTATTATACTACATTATTTTGCACAAAAAAAAACACTGACTTTCTATGGAAGTGAATCGACAACTTCGTTTTTAAGATCATTTCGGAAAGTTTTGTCTTTCAAGTTGGCTATAATTATTATTGAATGCATTATCAAAATATAATACTGCATAATTTAGAACAAGTGGAAAACAAAAAACACAACAACTTGAAGTCTTAAACAAATAATCAAAAAGGAAACCACATTTGCGTTATAGACCTATATACCCTAAAATTGTAATGATGATGATTTAGACGATGTCGGCGATGATGATAATTCTAATGACAATATTGCTAGATGCTTTTTCCAACCAATTATTATGCCTAAAAATATACGCTAATTTATTTTTGAATCAAGATTTGAGAGATGTCGAGAATAGTTTGCATTTAAAAATAAATAAAAATGAAGCACCATTACTTTCTTTTACAATATGTTCACTTTGATAGTGGTTATAGTTTTTTTTTAAATTAAATTCTTTCACCCTAGTGGTTAATTTAAAAATGATTAGCGATATGTTAAGTGACTTTAGTCAGATTTGTCTGATTACCATTATTAAAACATTAAAGACAAGTCACAGGATTTTCCCGGAAAGGCAGTTACAGAATTTTCCCAGATCAGAAAGTGGTGAATAACAGTGAACAGACATTATTAGTAGGCCTACAGAGGCAAAAGAAGAAATAAAGAAAGAAATATCAATTATCAAAATATCATGTAGATCAAATTCTACTGGGAAGCAATTTTATTTGGCCTAACGTTTACCCGAGATGTCTCCCTTTTCTATACTTTTGATGCGCGTCCACCATCGGGACGAATTAGGGCAGGTCTAGGCGGAAATAGGCAAGGAAAATGCCTCACGCAGACGGCGCACTACGGACAATTGCTTACGATTTCAGGCATAAGAATGGCATGGTTGGATTCGCTAGAATTTCGGCTACAAATTGATATACATTAGCGCCTGTATAATTCATTTTCAGAAAAGTTATCTAAGAAAAACTGCCTATCGGGCGGATACCGGGCAGGGTACGGTACTGTAGCTGCTGCTGCTCCTATAGTATTAAATACAACCCACTGATCTCTACGGAAAAATCATGTTGTTGTTGTTGTTGTTTTAGTTTTAAGGGCGTGTGTCATTCAATTATGAATATTTACGAATCTTCTGATTCTTGTCCTAAAATCATATATAATTGATGGTTTTTAAAACGGTATCATTTGAATTTCCATTTCCAAGCATTATTTTGAACTGTCCCGAAATTGTTTTCCTTTCTTGAAATCAGACTACAGCCCCAGCCTATTCTTTTCTTATGCATGGGGATATTGAAAGGCCTTGTCCTCTCAGACAAGGATAAATAGCTTATTCAGTATGCTACCTTTAGAGACAATACTTTAAAATAATGCTGTCATTGTTGCAATGTCAGGAATGCTATTATTACCTCTTTGGTAATCCACGTATTTGCCAAAAGTATTCGCTCAATGAAGGGAGGGTCGGATTTGTTTTCTTCAATTCATTAATTGATGCCATATCTGAAAGAGCTGAGTAGTTTGTTACGTAACTATTCAAAAATTGCAGGTGCAAGCTATTGAAAAGCCAAGCTTCCTTTATTCATTGGTGCCCTTTTATAGAATTCGTAGCGTATACTAAATTAATAGACCCGTGTTCTATTCATCATGCTATGTCAGGGCAGTAACCTATTGTCATATCACTTTAAGTTAAAGTCAGTAGTTTGCAGAATAAATGAAAATAACATAAAACATCCCTAATATATCAGTAACTGAAAGAAAAAAATTAGGGGCAATCTTGACAACATCGGACTACAAAAATAATAATAAATATGCCTCCCGAAAGCGTGAAATCAGTAAATCGGCATATTTTGTAAAGTCATTAACATGCAGAAAGTGTTAACAACAAACGAACCAGAGAATGGCACTGGGGCAAAGTGGTCTTGTGGATAAGACTGATCGCATCACAATGTAATGTATCCGGTTCGACTCCCAGCTTCTCCTTTATTTTTTTTATTATTATTTTTCTTCACCCCATGATACTGACTTTCCATCTCTTTTTTAAAGGGGTCACCCCCCACCTTCTAAACAAAGGAGTAAATAACATGTGATACTCTTTTCTTTTTTTTTAAGGGCGACTTTTTGAATTACTTAGTCGTTAGAATACATCTTTTGCTACATCTACAACAATAAGTATCAATATGAAAAAATACATAGAGATTGGCAGTGTGACACATTTAATTTAGTCTAGTGGATAGGCAATTGCCTGGTAACTGGAAGGTATCGGGTTCGACACACAGCAAGTGCTTTAAAAAAAAAATCTTTGTAATAGAAAAACTTATGTTAAACCCCTTTTTTTTTTAATCTCACTCAAAGTCCATACTTATTGCTATTCTTTTAATTGATTGATACAATTTTTTTTTTTTTTTTTTGGGGGGGGGGGGGGGGGGGGGGGGGGTAGCTGGCGGTCGGTAGCGGTAGCCACAGAGCCATGTTCATTTTTAAAACAAGATTCAAGAGCCTCTTATTGCCAGGTCAACAACGTTTTTTTACATTTTCAATCCTAATTTCCTCGTTTAAATCACTCTCTACTGTCCCGTACTATCCTTTTCCAGTCTGTATACAACTTATTTGTAGCATGCATGCAATGAACGGTGTTTTACTCCTCCTATAAATTTAATAAAAGCGCCCTAATCTTGCACGAGGTGAGACAAAGGGCCTTTTACATTTGAAAGCATTCACCCCACCTCGCCTGTATACCCGAGCAAAATTAAATAGTGCTCAACAATAAAAACCCCAGTCTTGGGTCAAGAGGTCTATATTTGTTTGTTTATTTAGTTATTTGTTTTAATTGACAGTGTACTATTACATATCAGGTATATTAGATACTCTGTTTTAAATACAATCAATTAGACTGTCGAGCAATGAATTATCTTCTGATTCTTGTCCTAAAATCATATCTAATTACTGGTTTTTAAAACGGTATCATTTGAATTTCCATTTCCCAGCATTTATTTTTTACAGCCCCAGCCTATTCTTTTCTTATGCATGGGGATATTGAAAGGCCTTGTC